ATTCGGAATAAAGAAATTTACCCAAAATGGGGGAAAACTTATTCACAGCAAAAGAGAAAAATATAAAAAATGAAAATCCAAAAAAACGACGATGAAAACTGAACCCCAGTTTATCATTAAGAGACAAAAACCACAGCAACGGAAATGCCATCAGGACTCGGGAGTCGGAGGAATAAAAAGATGTCGAGAAGTCCAAGTTGAGAGACAACGGCCTCATAAAACGCAGCCATCAAAAACGACAAAATTAAAAAGTTCAAATGGCAAATGGCAGGCAAATTGCGAGCAGTAAAATTACTAGAGAAAACTCTACAGGAAATATCGAATCCATAAACAACGAACTGGAAATGCTTTAACTGATAGTAAAGACTGAATAGCAGATCGAAATGCGATCTATTTTCATTTAGGAAATATTCCATAGTCGTTTCTAGAGTTATTTATTGGGATAATCATTGAAAAAGTATTCGCCTGGGATATTCTCTATCGAATTGCTGATCTATAGCCTCATTAGACAATGGAATTTTTGGGTATAAAAATTTCTATTCATGAAATATGAAGCCTGAAGGAATGCGTTAGGAATGTGGCGGCACTAAAATGTTTAAGTAATAGCAAACCTTGTTTCTGGGGTTCAAAAATCTTTCTACTTCACACAGAATTTAACTTTAAAAATATATAAATTATAAAAGTACATCAAATCATCATCTTTTCCAATGAATTTAAAAAGTTCATCCAGAGTAATTCTGAAATTTTAATATATCCCAAACTTATTGACGCACAAAAATACCTAAAGAAATGCAGAAGAGTGAGAAGTTAATAACCTCAATTTCATATTGCGAATACAAGAAATACAGAAATCCTCCAGCTGTTAGCCTTTATCCCCAAAAATCTACGACCTCCAATCTCCAGGCCATTACCAAATCTCAAGATCCCAGACTTTTCCATTGTCGTCGTATTGAGACAAATAAATTTCGGGTGGTGCCACATGGCGATGCCAACTGCAGTAGTCGTCGCAGATTTTCCCTGGATATTTTTAATTTTGCGGCGAGAATAAAAAACAAAACTTTGGCCATAATCGTTATCGTTATCGTCATCATCATCACAGCCAGTGTTTGTTGTGAGGGGAAACCTTGTAAAGAGAAACACAAGGACTTGACCATAATTTGCGGCCAAAAAACAAAGGCATTTCTTTGTGTCTTAGAAATTAACATTTTTATGCTTCCGCCAGGAGGAAGAACTCTCAACTTAACTCAACTCTACTCCTTTTCACAGAGATGATATAGCCGGAAAGTTTTCCATCCATCCGCAACAATGGAAACTTGAACTCGCAGTTGTTAACATGAAGTTGTCCAATGAAGTAAGGACATGAAAGCCACGGCACACAAAAGGAAGAGGTTGAGGTGAGGCTGAGGGTGAGGCTGGGTGAATCCAAGGAAACGGTAAGTAAGTTTTAATTACTCCTTGACAAATATTTAACTTTGGGGAGTTTGCCAAAGGGAGCAACGGGTGCTAGGGGAAGGGACTTTGTCTTACGCACAATTAACCAGATTTTTGCCGCTTGCCAGGCAAATGAAATCACAGAAGGACAAAGACGGAGTCTGGGTTCCGGGATTCGCTTTCAGACTCGAATTCAGATTCGGTGGGGTTGTAACAACATAATTCTGCGCCGTATAATGTCATAAATGTCTGTTAAACAAAACAACAACGACAACGACAACGACGGAGAACGGAGAACGGAGTACGGAGACGCAGACTGTCAAACATTATTACATTATTTGCCTTTTGCTTTCGGGGCTCTGTCAAAATGCTGAAATTGAAACCAACCCCGTGGCTTCCTCATTCGGGGGATTTCTGGTTCTTGTATTACTCTCATCGCCGGATCAACCCTGACATGGGAGATTAATTGCGCCAGCCTTTTGCTTCTTTGAGTCAGTCGGAGGGAACTTCATCATCGAGTGCCCCCTGACGGCAATTATTAAATTTTCATTACATCCCCTAATCAGCGTTTTGTATCATTTTGTATATTGATTGTGTTCCCTTTTCGGCCTTCACATCTTGATTTCGTCCTGAATCGGGCAAATTGAGTTGAGAGTCGCAACGGGTTGAGGATTTTTTTTTTGCAAAGGGTTAGAGGTGCGAATTGCCATATTAGCAAAACGATTTAGGCAGGTGTTGAAGGGGTTTTTGAATTGGTTTAAGGAATTAATTAAAATAATAATTAATTCGCTTATGAGATTTTATTGAGGGGTTCTAAGTGATTTCATTAGGACATACAAGTATATAGAAACCAAACCTGATAAGGAGATTTCAAAGTTTACTTAAAGGTTTACACAAAAAAGCAAATCTTTGAAATATAAATTTTAGGGGTTGAATAAAGTTTGTAAGAATTATATTTATTAGTTTTCATCCAGCAATATTTAAGTAATGGATTTTGTATTGTTTGTTTAGCAATAAATAATTAGGGTCACAGGGATAATAACAATTTAATGAGAATTTAAAGAAGTTGTTAGAGCATTAAACACCTTAGAGAATTACAATTAATTTGCTAACTTTGTCGAAGTTTTAAATATATAAAATTCAAAGGTTTTACATAGGTTATTTGAATCTGAAATTTTGTTTTTATTATGCAACTCCTAATACATTCCTGGCATAATTTTGCAATTCATAATGAAGCTTCTTCAAAGCAACTTCATTAGACCTCAAATGCAATCTATCAATTTCTAGCCTTCGAAATTAATACTTGGCAAATAACTTTGTTGGTCTTGTGCAACTTCAAGTGTTTTGACTTGACTTTTGTGATTCGTGCTGACATTTCGAATCAATGAAGTCGCACTTTGTGCTCCTCCCGGCACCTGCTTGCAGATATTTTCCGAGTGAGTCTAGGGGTAATTGGGAAGACACACATTACACTCATACGCATTACCATCCAATCCAGTTTAATGGCAAACAGCAAACGATGTCTTGCTCAAATAAGCCGATTAATTGTAATCAAGCAGCGCGTCCAAATGGACACCGGCTGGGCATTCCTATTCCCATTCCCACTCCCATTTTCCAGCTGGGCTCCGGAACCAGGAGGAACTGAGTGGGATCCGGATGGGATCCCCTTGTCTATCGATTTCTGTCGTCTAGTCAGTTGGGTCAGTGCATGTGCCTCGCAAGGAAATAAATACAAAGAGGCAAAGTAAGTGAAACACTTTCTACCCCGGCAAAGTGCTCCAAGTGGAGCCGGAGCTCCAGAGTTTTGTTTAATAAAAAGAATGGCAAATTGCGGAGAAGGCTTCAAACATACACTAAACGAAAATGAGATAAAACTAGTTGTAGATTTACAAATATAGACATCGAAGTGTAGTTACTTGTAAAATAATTTTTAGAATTTTTCCCAGACATGTTAAGTTTGTTACTAAATTGTCTTCTTTGTCAGAAAAGTCTCATTGGTTTTTGTATTGTTAAATGCCTATTTCGTGGCTATATACTGATACTACAATCAAATCATAAAGTGTTAAAAGGACACACTATAAGGTATAAAATCATATATGATTGTTAATTTTTAACCATTTTTCATCCATTATCCAAACATGATTTATTAAAATTTAAGACCTCAAAGGTTCAGAAAATAACAAGTATCTAAAGTTTGAAACAGTTTCCCAGTGTAAAATCTCATCCCTCCTTTGGCAAGGATATTATGGGGTTTTCCCCTTTTGTTGGGTGGTTTTGTAATGACAAATAATAACTGGTGGCCCTGCTGGTTAGTCCCCCTTCCATCTTTTTTTCACCCCGTCCCTGGTGCTGCTGCTGCTCCCCTGTCAGTGGGCAAATTAATGGTGAAGTGTAAGTAAAATTTACGCTCTGCCACCGCCGCCGTTCGCATCTGCTAATAATCATAAAAAAGGCGGCTAGCAGCATTTTGACAACCGACAACCAACCAACAAACCCCCACGGTTGCAGCACCCCCATTTGGGAATGTTTTTGGCTGACAGCCGCAGAATAAAGCAAACGCAGGCTGAAAGCCAAAAGGAGCAGCGGCACCATCGCCAACCGCAAACAAAGCCAATATAAATAATTTTACTTTATTGTTTAAACCCGGGCTGGACCCCCACCACATCGTCTGCCTTGGATAAATATATTTATGTTGCATTTGCAGCTGATTAGCAGCTTTTGAGCACTTTTGAGGAGATCGGAGTGAAAAGGGTTTCCTCTGAGTGCCGACTATTGCACATTTCGATGGGTATTTATTTATTTATTCGGCAACTCACTTGTCCAGATCAAAAGCGAATCCATCGATTCGAAAACGATCAGGAAGTGCTTATTTCATAAAGTCTGGGAATCAGAAGAGATCATAAAGTGGCTGGCTGTAGTGAGTACTTAGAACTTCTCGAAATTTGTATATGTTTTTCTTAAGAGAATGATTTTGGGAAAGAGTTTTTTATATTTCAAAGGTAGAATAGAAATGTAAAATCTTTTGCAGAACGGAAATTATATTTACATAAAACATAGCTAGTCCCCATTAATTCCTACATTAATATTCAGAAGAATCTTTCCCATATTTCCAATCTAATTAACTCTTAATTAAAGACTCCCTTCCGCATGTGTGAATTTTCAAGGCAAAAGGCCCTTCACTTGCCTAATTACCAACATTGAACCTACTCTAGTCATAGGCTCTTGATTTTTATGTAATCAAAGTTCATGGAGGGTTATGCTGCTCGCTCGAGAAAATCAAAATCGACCGAATCAGAGTTCACTTGATGGGTTAAACACGCTTTCCCAAGGCATGTTTTTAATAATTGCAGACACAGATATTAATTGTAAACGTTGATTGTTCACTCAACTGGAGTTGGGGCCACAGAAAGCCATATAAAAGCGCCCATAAAATGCCGCGACTGCTGCATGTTCGTAGGACAAAACAATTTGATGGCTTGACTGAAAGATCTCCATCAATTGATAAGATTTCAGTTCAATTAAGATGGCTTTTCGCAGATGGGGAATAGACTGTGCATAGACTGACTCACTTGTAATGGCCCTGCTGCATATCCATGTTGCTGGTGCTGGACGGTAGTCCCATTCCCATGCCTGCAGCTCCGACTCCGACTAGTCCGCCTCCGCTGAGCATGGTTCCGCCGTATCCAAGATTTCCAGGTAATCCCTTGCCGCCGGGCACTATAATGCCCAGGTTTGCCAGGCCGGCCAGTGCGTGTCCATGGGGATGTGAGCCCAGATTTCCGCCATGATTGTGGGACGAAGGTAAGCCCATTCCGTTGCCAGGAACTCCACCGCCACCGAGTCCAACTCCCGAATGCCAGGGACTGCCCACCGATGCCACTCCACCGCCGATGACCGAGGGAGCACTTGATGTACTGCCGCCCAATTGATTGATCATGGATCCGCCACCAGGTGAGCTGTTCACCACCTGACCAGCACCACTACCTCCCATCAGAGTGTTCAATATGGTGCTGTTCATATTTCCATTGTTCAGATTGTGACTGCTCTGGTGCAGTTGATGTTGCTGATGCTGCTGGTGGTGCATCACAGGATTGCTGCTGCTGTCCAGGTCACCATTTTGGCCAACCATCAGCAGCTGATCCTCATTCCGCACCTGGCCGACACTCAGGTGGATGAGGAACATTAGCACAAATACTCTCAATGTCGATGGCATTTTCACTGAATTTAATTTCCGGTGTTGAATAGATGTTCTTGACGCTTCTGTTGAATTCGATTTTTCTAAATGCGTTTTCTATAGTCTACTTTTTGGCGTGATATATTGTGGATGCTTGGTGGTAAGTAAGTACTTGTTTAGTTAATAAATTACTATATGCTAGAGTTCTACCGCCTACAATATTTATTTCTTTAAAGTTAGAAAATTAATTATACGATTTGTGTATGCTTGTCAAAATTGTTTCGGTTAATAGAAAATTGTTAAGTTGCCGTATAAAAATTGTTTAAAATTCTATTCTATGCTGGTTTTTGTTTTTATATTTGTTTGAGATTATGTATTTTGATAGTTGCATGAATTTTGTTTTGTTTTGTTTTGTGTAACTTATTTTGGACTGCTTAATACTTTTCGTTTGATTTCCACTTTGCTTCTTCTGGTACTCTACATTTTTTGTTGTTCTAGCTTGTTAGTGGATTGGATTGATTAAAATTCACATTGGCACTTCAAACGTTTTTCTCTTGTGTTATTTCAACGGCCAAAGATGATTTATTTGCTTTAGAGACGTGCGTTTTAGAGATGTGTTTTCCTTTCGAATATTTCCTGGGAATAACGCAGAACATGGATCGAAGAGCGCTAGATCAAAAGGCGATCGATCTCCTTTTGTTGCCTGCCCCACCGACGATCGAGCGTATCAAAAGGTAACGAAACTAGTTTTGATGTTGCTGCTGCTGCTGATGTTGCTGCTGCTGCTGCTGCTGCTGCTGCTGGTTGCCGTGTTGCATTCACCGCCAGCGACGCCGTCGCCAGTGCCTCTTCACACCGCCGATCCATCCATCTGGGCAGCCTAACTTTGGGGGTTTTCCGATGTTTCCGATGCACATGAAAGTAAGCCGCCACGCATTTAGTTAATTTCTCGTGGGCCGGCCGGCCGGCCACTCGCCATAAGCACTCAACACAGATCGCGGACGGTATCACACTTTGAGTAAATATATATATTCTCTATTTCTCTCTCTTTATTTTTCTGGAAAGCCCTTTCCGGATGCTAACAGTATTTCACACTTTCCCAACTTCTGCTTCTCGGCAATATATTTTCTCAAAAATCTCAAATTCGAATACGTTTGCTCCGCGCCACACGTGCGACCATCAGCTCGTTCGGCACTCGACTGAATCATCGACAGGCGAGACTTCGTGTGCTGCCACAGCCGATGGTGTTGCTGCTGCTGCTGTTGCTGCTGCTGCTGTTGCTGTTGCTGTTGCTGTTGCTGCTGCTGCTGGTTGCCTCTTTGGTGGCCGTTCTGATAGGCAAACGCGGTCGTGGTCGAAGGGGAAGGCCCGAAATGCGTGCGCAGCCAGTGACAGGCTTGCAACATTTTGCTTGCTTCCTCCAAGGGCGATTTGTCGCCAATTGATCGTCGTCACAATATGGAGACAACACTTTATTAATTATGGCGACAACTTGTCAGCAGGAATTGCTCCCTGATCCGTGATCCGTGGCTAATTGGTGGACAGGGAGTCAGGTATCTCTCTGGGCTTGCCACTTGTTCCAGCTACCGCGCACTCGCCGGGCACTTAGTTTATCTTTTTTTGCCCCCAGATAAACCACGGTTTGGTTTGCCGGGGTTTTTCCTTGTTTGCTCGCTCGGTCCATCCATCAGTCAGTCTTTCAATCTTCCAGACACTTTTTTTTACTCATCAGCTTATCCATTCCGGGTACACAGTGGGAAAATATTGGTGGATTCTAGGGGAAATTACTCTTAAAGAAAATCAATAAATGTTGTCTTAAATATTATGTAGCTAATTTTTATGTTCTTGCAAGGGTATTTCAATGTTAGTCAGAAGCTTGTAATTTTATGAAGGAGTCATTTCCGACCCTATTATTGATCAGAATTTACAGCCGAATCAATCTAGCCATGTCCGTTTGAATAATAAAAATTAAAGGAATTTTTAAATTAAAAAAAATAATAATAAGTGGTTACATTGTGAAAATTTGTAAAAATTTGAGAAAAATGTTAATTTTGTTTTTAGATTTGAAATTGAGTATGCAGATTTCTTAACCTGAAAAAAACTAACATAAGAATGGTTTCCGAAATAAAGTGAATGCATTGTTTGCTTAATTATGAGTTTTTTAAAATTTGATTTGTTCAAGAACTGTCATAAAAAATGTCGTTAAATATTGATCTGAAGGAAGCGAATATTTTAAAATTAATTATGATTGATTGTTTGAAAATGTCGCAAAAACCTGCTGAAACCTATATCTTATATTTTTTAAGTTACCATTGAGAGACCCCCGAAACTAGTTTAATCTGTAGTCTTCAAGGATATTTTATTTCTCCAAATTAGTTCCATACTTATTCTCTCAGTGTAGGGAACTCACCTTTCCACTTGTCTTCAACTCTAGCTGTTTGTTATTTACCTTTTTTTCTCTTACTCTCCCAGGCTCAAATCAGAGACACACACACACATTCTCAAAAGGGCAAGGCACTCCTCGCACTATAAGGCAAAAACATTTTTTAGCTACAACTTTTGACCCAAAACCCTTAAGATATCCAGATATCTAACCTACCTGACCGACCATCCAATATTTGCACAAGCTAATTACAAAAACAACAGCGGAAAGAGAAAAATCTATCGTTTGGTTTGTCTATTTGTCCAAACATTTGTCAATTTCATTGAGCTCTGACCAGGCATATTTCCACCATCGATCGAAGGGGCGGCGATATCACTTTGATCGTTCATCGCCGTCGACAGTTTTTTCTTTTTTGGTTCAATTAAGATTCATTTTAACGCTCCAAGAAGGCGGGATATATATTTATGTACTGTGTGGCATGATTGTTCGGTCCCGGCGTTTATCTAATTTACTTTTACTTACACTTACACTCCCAAGTACAAGCGCCCCCCGGTCCCCAAAAAAAGATAAAAGATAAGTATCTGTTCGAATGGGAATGGGAATGAGAACTGGAATGAGAATCGGGACACACAATGTCGCTGCTCGAGAATCGGAGAAACTTGGAGCTGACCAGTTTTATTGGCTTGACAATGGGCCCGTGTCTCTCGGAGCAAGAAGGTGAGGGAATCGGCTGCTCAAGTGCCTTTTCATTGCGGCACTTTGGGAACTTGGAACTCGAGAAAAAGAGAAAAGAATACGGCGTCTATAATCTCTGCCCCGGGTCTTCATTCTAATGGTTTCTAATGAACTACTTAAGCCGCTGATAGCGAAGTGATTGACGATGATTCGGCGGGGGCATGATGATCTGGTAATCTCATCGCCAAAGTGCTGTCAATACACTCAGATATCCATCTGAAATACTGGCCATACCCCAAGGGCTTAAGCGTGGACTGAGTCATTTGGGTAAGGGGTTTGCTCAAGTAGCTAATGAAAACATTAGTTTATTAGCTGATACAATATTCCTTTTATTGTATATATTATACGATAATATTAAAATAATATATCTAATTTTTATTTAATTAGAGAGCTTCTGCAGACAAGCTTTATAAAAGGACTGGATTTTATTAAATGTATTAAAAATTAATTTAAATTTAATCTCTTTATAAAGCTGCAGTGTTTTTCCTAACAAATATCTAGATATTTACATTCTAAATATCTATATTTATAAAAAGGGTTCTTCTGAAAAGGTAGTATTATTGTTTAAGCAATTAATAAGACAATAATGTCTCCCATTTAAATACATCTTATATTCAATCGAGTTAATTTATAAATGTTTAAACTAAGTTGAATGATAATTTCTATTTAATTTCTACCACTATGATTAAGGGTTGTAAATATCACTCATTGATCTAGTAAAGTTAACTAAACGAATAAAGGACATTTCCCTTTGATTTGAAAGTAATTATCCTGGCAAAATTGTAACCCTTTTATGCAACCAAAAAAAGGTTCAGTGACTTCTTGGCCATTGGTAATGTTTAATGTAGCGTAAAATTGCAATGTCAAAACAATTTTTTGTGTGCAAATCAAAGACCCCGCCCCGTGAAAACAACGCCCCATTTAATGTGACAATGGCATGACTGAGGTCCGTTTGGGCTTTCGGCTAATTGTCGCCGAAAAAGAGCCCTTTGAAGTGGCAACTTCATTTTAAAAACTGTTGTTAACCATTTCCTGTGTGTTTTCCAACTGCCACAGAAAATTTCACTTTATGTTTATGGAAAACAAATTTTTCGTCTGGAGGAGGAACAAAACATGCACACGTAAATCAAACACTTGCCAAGCTTTTTTTCTTTTTTGGGCAGCAAGTCTAAACATTTTTACAGACACCTGCCACAAAATGACGTCTTGTTTTTCGTTTGTTGGCCCAAATCGCTCACTCATCTCAAGTGGTCAGCAGCGATCTTTAATTCTGGATGCTGTGGCTGCTCTGGGTTTAGGATTGGGAATTCCTCCCGAAAGTCTTAATTGGCCAATGGGCGCCACCCAGATGTAGTTATAAAGATTATGACTTTAAGCACTTCAAAGTACTGGGAAACTTCAAAGAAGTGCACCAGGTAAACGACACTATTAGCAGCAGTGCAGGCAATGTGTCCTGTTTATGGATAGATCTGGTTGTATGATATTAAAATATCAGATTTATATAAAGTTTAAAAATACTTGTTTCAATAATTTTCAGATATGTTGAACACATTTTTACTTACCCTATAAAACTATAGGTATTTTAAAGAGTTCCATCATATATTTGTATTTAAATGTTAAGAGAATCTTAAATACTTAATAAAATATTACACTTTATAACTACAAAGTTAAAGAAAATCCTCTATACTTTCATATATAATTATATATTATATATTATTTTGAATAGATATTTACGTCTCCTAGAAAATTATAAATATTTTAAGGAATCTTTAAGAAGATTTGTATTTCATTTATAAGTAAACAAGAAAGGAAACTAACTAAAATACTTCATTCAGTAACTAAAATGTTAAAGAAAATCCTTTTTTTTTTTTATATATATTATTTCAAAGTAATTAAATGACAGCACTATGTATATGCCACACAGGTTGGCTGCAAAAAAAATAAGTATTTATAGAGAGAGGTAAAAGGGGGACCGCTTCCTTTTGGTTTTGCGGCTGCACGCGACATTAATTTCAGTTCCTGCCTTCGGGGACTGCAACCAACAGCCTCTGTCCCCTAGGAAAATTAATTTCATAGCCAATTGCTTCGTCATAAAATATTCTTTTACTTTGGCGGCTTCTGTTTTCGGCTCAGTTTTTATGGCTCTTCAATTGAAGGAAGCTCACAATACGGCCCGGGAATTATTTAACTCGCTGCAATTAGTGCGTCATTATTATTCGCAATTCAAAAAAAAAAGAAAATATGTGGGAATTGTCTAGAGAAATCCCCGCATTCGGATGGTTGCGATATATGTGGTTATAATGGACCCGCATGCGAGTTGGCCTGTCAAATTTATGACAAGTTATGAGCGGCAGCAGCATAAACAAAAGCGTAAAGAAATCATACAATAAACCCATCATCATTAAAATTGAAAGCGATCACGCCGAGGCCCAGGCGGAAATCGAAACTAAAACTTTTTCATTGCCTCTGACCCGGTGGCTGCCAAACATGCGATAAGTTTGGTG